ACTATTTTTTCCAACAAGTTAAAAGTTTGCCTTAACAAACATTTGCTTTTTTAGTTATTATATAAAATAAAAAAAACTAATTATTCATAATGAATATAAATTATATAAATTAATCGTAATATAATTATTTCAAAAGACTGTGACACAAAATATTTAACATTAATAATTAAGATAAATTGTATAAATATATTAATTTTGATTCATATTCATAACTAAAATGAGATATTTATAATAATATTTATTAGATTTAAATTAACATTTATTGCATTAAAATTTGAATTTCAATTCTATATTCTGTTTGCTACCTCGATTTCAATCAAATTCCACTGCAGTCATTTAATTAGAATTGAATGTCATTCTCAATTCAGTTCAATTACTGAATTAATCATTCACAATAAGAGCAGGAACGTGCATTAAGAAAGTAAATAAGGGTGTTTCTTTTTGACTTTTGAGACTGGCTGTCCACAGATTGTTTTGTAGTGCATTAAATGCATTTGTTCAGGCCTTGTAGTCAATATCCGTTATGTGTACCGTACATCGGTTGCCATAGTAATGAGTCAAAGCGATGCCAAGAGGCTTGTTCCGAACCAGAGGAGCCGTCAGTTTGGAAAGAGAGGATGGAAAACTGGGAATTGTGCCTTTCATCAAGGCAGCTCGCCATATTACTGAACTCATGAGGCAGATCAGACGACATTAGCCATGGAGAAATGATTGTATTTTACACATGGATATGCTGTGTACTCAAACCATTCATTCATTCGCTTTGCAAATGCATTTTTAATTGTAGGTCAAACTCTATGCAAACGTGTTTGTGTGTCGTTCAATTCACCATTCCCAAATTATAATTAAATTTGATTTCACAAACAGTATGTGTAGTGTAGTTTTAATATTAGAAATGTGGGATATTTCTAGAAATATTATTTATTAATAAGGAATATTTTAACTACTGCTATATATACACATTTTAATGTAACTCATTTGTATAAAGTATACAATATTTGTATAGAATGTATTTTTTATTACACTATTATTATTATTATTATTATTGGTTTTGTGGTGGAAGAACACTTTTTTCCTCAATGTTTTTATATATATTCTTTATTTTACAATCATTAAAATATCATCATCATCATCATCATCATTGGTTTTATGGTGGAAAAGGACTTTCCTCAATGTTTTTTAATAAATAAATAATACATTTTATTTATTTATTTATTTTAAAGTTACAAAGTTGCCTGAAAACAATGTGGCATAATTGTTATGTTGCTATATGGTTTTGATAGCTCTAAATGACATAGGACGCATAATTAGTCAAAAGTGATGTTTTTTTTTTCATGTTTTTTAACTTGTTTGAACTAATGAAATTCCTGAAGTTGTCTGGGCATTTAATTTCTATGCATTGTAATTGTTTTCTCGTCATTCCAAATTAAATGTCAGTTCACCGTTTCAGTGTTTCAGATCCTATTGAGATATTTCCGTTTCCTTGAACATCACCACTTCACCCAGCACATCCAGACTCGATGACTGTCCTCTGACGCGGCTCTCTGCTTTAATCCACAGATCCATTCAGACTCTGATGAAGGCGACGGCTCTATAAAGTACACGATCTCTGGAGAGGGAGCAGGGACTGTCTTCATCATAGACGAGGTCACGGGCGACATCCACGCCACCGAGCGTCTGGACCGAGAGGAGAAGACCTTCTACACCTTACGAGCTCAGGCGCGAGACCGCCAGACCGACGCGCCGCTGGAACCCGAGTCTGAGTTCGTCATCAAAGTCCAGGACATTAACGACAGCGAGCCCAAGTTTCTAGAAGGTCCCTACATCGGGAGTGTGGCCGAGCTCTCTCCTATCGGTAAGAGTTACACTGATTATACAGTATTTATATGCTGAACTGCAAATACTGGTTGTGTATATTTGTATACTGTGTGTTCAGATCAGCGTTATTTTATTACCATTGATCAGGATAATTATAGTTAACTAAAACCATAGAACAAATGTTGTTACTCAAAATAAAATAAGCTTTAATTATAATACAATTTTAAAAGATTAAAATAAAAAACAAACTTTAATTTATTTAATTAACCTAAACTTTAATTACTTTAATTTAATTTATCTTGATGTACTAAAATAACTAAAACTGAAATAAAAATGTATTAAAACTATATTGACACATTTAAAAATAAAAACAAAAATAATTAAAAATGACAAAAATACACAACAGAATTACCACAATTTTAACAAAATAAAAAAAAAGAAAATATAAAAAATTAATACAAATTGAAAATACTGATAGAAACAAACAACAATATTAATAAAATAATAACAGTATCTCAGTGATACTAAAATGACCCTCTCATTGATATACTATTATAGTTTTTGTTAATATTTTGAATTCGTTTTTTAAATAGTTTCTTTTCTTTTCTTTTTTTTTTCATTTTAATTTTAGTTAAAAGTTTTTAATAATTTAGTAATTTGTGTTTTTGGTTCGTTTTCATATTTGTTTGTTATGTCGGTGTAGTTTTTGTTATTATTATGTTTTAGTTTGTTTATTTAGTTTTAGATATTTCAGTACTTTCAGTACTTCAGTACTTTATTTTAGTACTCAAACTAAACAAAAAAGAGAAATGTTGCCTTTGCAAACATGAAAATAAAAGCTGAAATAAAATAAGTTATAAGATTTATATTTTTATATTTAATATAAGATTTATATTTTATTTTATAAATAAAATATTTTATTTCAGTTAATGTTTATTTTATTTCAGGTAATGCTTTTTATTTATTTATTTATTTTTTAATGGTTTTAGTTTTAGTTTCAGGTTACAATAATAACCCTGGTTCAGATCACAATTCAAAATGCAAGTGTTGTATCTTCAGCATTGTTGCACAATGCCTAAAGGAGAGTAGTTTTTTACTGTTATGGCAAAACAACAATTTGAACGGATTTGCTGAGCAATGACATGGTGCATGTCCAAAAATGTCAATTTTTATTAATACTTTTTAATTATTCAAAAGGACAATATAAATGCATACAATTGATGATTAGTCAATTTGTGCTTTTGCAATGTGGGTATTCTAGCAAAAAAGTACCATGGAAGCACCATAGTATTTTTAGAAGTACCATATAAATGTCAAAGTACTGCATTATTGGCATCTGATAACACTGTACAATGATCCGTCACAGTATTTTGTATTATTTCCAGTGTGTTTGTGTGTTTTGAATCAGGTGCGCCTCAGCCAAAGCTCTTATGTGCGTGTTTGCGGATATAACAGATTTTTAAATGCAGGTTACAATAATGTAATCACTGCAGCGCTGCACGGCTGTGAACTTCCTGATTGAAATGAATTCCTGCTTCCTCAGCACATCGGCAGCAGCGACTCGCTGCTTATTGACACGCAGAAGAGAGAGAGAGAGAGAGAGAGAGAGAGAGAGAGAGATGAGCAAGTCCTCCTCTCCCTGTAGGCTTCTCCACCTTTCAGTCAAATTATACATTAAAGAAGTGTGGACTTCATGTTTTATACATTGAACAGCGGCGGGTGTAATGAAATAACGGCTCTGCTTAGTCAAGCAGTTCCTCTTTGTTTTCTGCTTATGTTTGAGGTCCTGGACAGAACGAGTGCTAATGGTCTTATTGTTAGAGCCTCGGCAAGAAGGTCAGTGTTACTCGGCCAAACAAACTCAACCGCACATTTTCATTTAGGTGCATAGAAAATTACTGCATAGTAAGTGAGTCTATATAGTCTATAACACCTTACTGCAATGTCAAACAATAAAAAAATAGCTAAATACATAGTTATAGCAAAATAATGGTTAAAGTTAATATCAGATTGTTACATTGCTACATGGAATTCAATGTTTTGTGTTTGTTGGTTTGTTTGTTTTTTCAAAAGAATGTATTGAGCTCACCAAGCCTGCATTTATTTGATTAAAAAATCAGTAAAATCAGTAATATTGTGAAATATTATTCCAATTTAAAATAACTATTTTCTGTTTGGATATATTGTAAACTGTAATTTATTTCTGTGATCAAAGCTGAATTTTCAGCATCATTACTCCAGTCTTCAGTGTCACATGATCTTTCAGAAAATTAAGTATTCCCAACAATTTCCCCCATATATTACCATCTCTTTCTTTTTTATTATTATTATTATTTTTGTAATCCTTCAGAAATTATCTAAATGATTTCAAACTTATAAAATAACCAATAAAAATAACCAAAACACACAACAAAATTACAAAAAAGAACTAAAACTAAAAATATAAAACAGAATACACAGACACATATATTTATTTATTACCATTTTCCATTTTATTTATTCTTTATTATTTTTAATAATAATAATAACTCATCTGTATTATAAATAAATAATTTCATCCATGTGATAGCTCATTTCAAGCACTTTCAAACTTTTAATTGGTCGCGTACATGTTCATTAATGGCTCAGAGATCTTAAGCCAGACCTGTTCACGCTTCATATTAAACTCGACTAGTTCTCTTGATCTGACATAAAGAGCTGCAGTGATTTTCCAGCCACAGAGCTTTAAGTGACCGGCTAACGGGTGGGTGGTCGTACGTAACGGCGCTAATTGTCCCGCAGCAAACAGAGCTAATTTAACGACATGTTGCGCGCAGTCGCTTTCCAGCAAACTCGCCCTGTAGATGTGTGAACAACTGATCTAATAAGCTGCAGTGCAGTCTTACCACTCCGCCAGAGAGAATTCAGCAATAATCATAAAAAAAGTAATCACGGACGAGCCCCAGGCATATTCATTTTCACTTATCGCCTTTGTCATTTTCTGCCTCTCTTTCTTTTCCTCTCTTTCTCTCGCCAGTGGCTTCGCTGATATTCATGGCCTTTAGTGTGCTGTTGAAGCCAAGTCACATTTGTTTGCATATTATTCACACACTATAGATGCTGGATGTTGGCTAGCCCAGCCATGAGCCGCAGAGAGGTACAAAACACCGCCTGCTAATCACATTAGCTGCAAAATCACTAGAGCATGACTATCTTTTGTCTATTTTTGTTTGTTTTTCACAAAATCTGACATTGGTTTATGAAATGTGCATTCTGTGGCTGTATTTTCTGCATGAAAGGATCATATTGCCTATAAGACTCATTCATGATGTCTAATAAAACTTCACTATTGATACTATTTTATCTAAGTGATATCTAGAGAACGGGGAAAACATATAATATATATATATTATAAAAAAGTAATGTTTAATGTTATTTATGTATTTTTTCTATTATTAATATTATTAATAATTAATTGTATTTAAAATACTAAGCCGCAAAAACTGTTTTCAACATTGATAATATCCATCAGCATATTAGAATGATTTCTGAAGATCATGTGACACTGAAGACTGGAGTAATGATGCTGAAAATACAGCTTTGATCACAGAAATAAATTACACTTTAATATATTTTCACATAAAAAACAGTTATTTTAAATTGTAATAATATTGTACAATTTTCCTGTTTTTACTGTATTTTTAATTTAAGAAATGCAGCCTTGGTGAGCAGAAGAGGCTTTTTTTTGTTTCAAACACAGTAAAAAAATCTTAATGATTCCATATGTGTATATAATCTTAAATGTCTTTTCAAATGCAATAACCAATAACCTAATGTCATATTTTAACACATTATGGTGTTTTAGGTAAATGCTTGCCCTTAGCCTCTATAAATTATTAAAAATCATATTTGAAATTGAAAGATTTTTAAATGGCAGGTTGAAAGACTTTGTAGCGGATACAACAATTGAAAAAAAAAAAGTGGCATAAAACTAATGCATATATTTGCTATTTAATGCTATTTATTTTAATAATACATTGATTTATTTTCCCTGAATGCAGGACTCATTTTATAATAAGTTGCTTTTTATGTATAAAATACTGTCATCTGTGCAGTGTAGTAGAAATTTTAAGAAGACAGATATTTTCCTCAATATTTAGTTTTTAAGCATCTCATGTCTGTCTTGTATTTTAATTTTTTTTTTAAGTCTGACTCTTGTTTATTTGGAGTAAAGCTATCTGTGAATATTTAAACCAAATGCATCTCTTCCCTTCCTCGAGTTGAGAGACCCAAAGTAATGCTTTAAGTATTTACACTTCTGCAATGCTTTGCCCACACTTTCAGATCTCCTCAGATGCGTTTAAAAATAATATGATGCTTGTACGTGTTGTGTTGTGCAACAGATGTCTTACCATAGATTTAGAGGGAATGTTCAGAACCCCTTTGAATGATTCACCAATACGGTTTCTGCCAGTGTCAGATAATAGACACACAAAGCTGGCAGCACCATCGTATTCAAAAGAGATTTGCATTTCCAGAAGGAAATAACAGAGCATGCGGCAGAAGAACAATGTTGACGTTTTGGGTTACTTCAGGTTCCAGGCATTAGTTCTGCATCAGTGTTGCTTTGTAATTATCCTGAATGACATGAATATCCTGACGTCTGATTGAAGGGACATGTGTTTGTGACCTACAGTGTTCTTGTACCACGACAGGCCGTAAAATGCCTGAATGTGACAAAAGTGCTGCATGATGGATGGTTGTGATGGAGAGATTTGATTGATGGCCGATAGAAAGGTTATGTCACTGGGTCTAAACTCCGGCGTTCTGGCGTCTGACCTGATTTGATCTGTGTTGACTGACACGGCTCATCATGTCTAGAGGAGCTATCTAAATGCACTGGATATTCTAAAATACATCTTGAAGCGGATAGTATAGGTCTATATTGCAAAGCACTTTTGGATTTGATGCAATGCATCATAATTAGGGTAGTTGAAAGTCACAGTTTTGTACTTTTTTAATAAAGAACATCTAAATGGACAAATAGACATTGAGATA